CAAAATAAGAACTGTAAGCCAAGACAAAATGTGAAGTGGAAAAAGTATAATTATCCATCCAAAGCTATAGTTATCTGGTCAAATTTTCTTCTAACTTGATGAAATCTATCCTATCAATTGGGTATTTTCAAAATCTTGATGCACTTACCCCAGTGACAATTTTAGTACAAATGATAAGAATAGCTCATACCATCTAAAGTGAACTGTTTTTTCCCTACAAGGTCATCAGTTACATCTTGGTAAAATGTGGTTAGAGCTGTTATATTGGCTTTCTCACTTACTTCAAAAAGTGTGATGTGTTCTCCATCTGTTATGTGATCCCAAACTAAAGAACTACACTTAGGATGTGTTCTTCCTTGGGGCAGTGCATTTTATGAAGGTGTGCCATAAAAGCATCCAGGTGCTAGCAACCTGCCCAAATGGTTCCCATTAAATCTGCTTGAAGGTGATGACATTTCAAATGTCACAACATCTCTCAGAGCAGCTAATTGCGTTAAATTTTAAAATAACGGTACGTTTTGTACTGTATACCCAGATGTCTTGGAATGAGCAAACTGACTAGAGCAAGCATAAAATCGCATCCGCATGTAGACTCTGAAGTGATTTTTCTGCTCAGAAAAACCAAAGAGGTAAATTGATTTCATTTAGAAGCAATCAAAAATATGGGTGTGTTTCAGCTTCTGCTAGTCATAGGTAAAGGTTAGTTCATCTCATTAATCTGTTTCTAAACAATAAGAACTTATGAATATTCCCTTTACTATTTCAGGATCTCTCAGACTTACAGATAATAATCAAAATGTTCCAGCAGGCTCTAAGTCTACTAACAACCATAAACAAAGAGCCATGCTGATTATCGAAATCACTTCAACTGGGTGAGAGAAAAATGTTAGGTGACAAAATCAGGATAAAAAATGGGCTAGAAGGATATGACTGTAATAAGGATGGCATTTTCATGAATAAATGTCAAGTCCTGGACATGATTCAAACACCAACTTCCAAAATACAGAATGCGGAGATGTGGCACACCTGTGAGCTCCATGTAAAGTTAAAATGCATGGTGCTATTGATAAGCCAATATGATCTTGAAGTAAATTAATATTCCATTCATGGGAAAGAAAACTCTGTCCTTCCCTGCTCTGTACTGATCAGGCACACCTAGAATATTGCGTTCAGTTTTGAGTACCAGATTTCAAGAGTGATATTGACAGCTGGACTGTGTCCAGAGAAGGCGAAGGAGTCAGGGAGCCCTGTCACATGACACAAACCAAAGAAACTGGGATTACCCAAACTGAAAAACAGAAGACACGGGAGGAGCCTAGCACTTATTTCTGAATACCTGAGCACAGTCATGGAAAAAAACAGATCACATCTGAACCAGGTGACCCAACAGATGAGACATAGGAACAATGAATAGAAAATGTAGAGGACTGTAATTTCAACATGAAAAAGAATTTCCTTTGCTCCTTATTAACAATTAAGGTGATACCATGTTCAGTACTGAAGGTGATTGGACAGAGCCCATCTTACCACATCCCTGAGATTTCTGTAGTTGGGAATTTGGTCTCCAGATGGAAGTGTGGTGGAATGGGTCATATTTAATGTCTGTTTTAGTGCCAGAAATTCTTTGAGCCCATGAATGGTCGGTGTTTTAGAGAAGTATATAATGTGAGCTATCTTGCTTCTTTGGAAAAGAAGAAATAATGCCGTTAGAAATTTGATGAATTTATTTTACTCTATTTTCACATAATAACTAAAATGAGAACTTTTAAAGTTTATTTATTTATTTGAAAGGCAGAGTTACAGATAGAGAAGAGACAGATCTTCCATCCACTGTTTTACTCCCCAAATGACTGGGACTAGGCGAGGCTGAAGCCAAGAGCCAGGAGCTTCATCCAGGTCTCCCACGTGGGTGTAGGGGCCCAAGAACTTGGACCATCTTCTGCTGCTTTTCCCAGGCCATTATTAGGGAGCTGGATCCGAAGTGGAACAGTTGGGACTCGAACCAGCACCCATAAGGCACAGGCTTAATCTGCTACACCACAGTGCCGGCCCCAAGGACTTTCATTTTTAGGGAACCCTGTTTGTAGGTAAAGACTTTTTTTTTAATTTTCAATCATCTGTTACTCTCAGCTGGAAATTTAAAATGAATTGTTCAAAAGTACAAACCTAAAGTTGAAAATAAGCAATTGTAACCGTAAGCAAACTTGAGTTAAGCCCACTTTAAAAAAAAAAAAAACAGAGACTAAAAAATCTTGAGACATTTTTGTTTCATAAAGCATAGAAAACACAGCTGGCATTGTGGCAAACACTCAGGGCATCCAACATTTCATACTGTTGGAAATCCAACTCACTCACTGATAAGGGGGTTTGGTGAATAATATCCAGAACATTTATCAAATGTTACTGCTTTAACGCTGTTTTCATATTCATGTACTTTGGGTCAGAGTTATGACTTTGAGTTCCTATTGTTCTTTTTTTTTCTTTTTTTTTCTTTTTTGATAGGCAGAGTGGACAGTGAGAGAGAGAGAGAGAGAGACAGAGAGAACCCATTGTTCTTATTAAAAGAAAGAGCTTTTGGAATTGAGTGCATCAACTGTAGACATCTAGGTTGGAAATCACACTACGGTCTATTAATTTGTTTGCTAGATGAATAGAGTGTGTCTTTGTATTCTAAAATGTAAAATAGCACACGACAAGGAGGCACCTGCCATCCCGAAGCACAATATGTCTACATTATTAAGTGCATTTGTGATGCTGCTGGAAGAAATTCCAGGATCAGAAATCCCAGACAAGAAGGTCTGCATTTGAGACATTTACTCATGCTTTTCTGCTTGGAACACAATTATGTCTACAGCAAAACCAATGACACAGGCGATAAAGGAGCTCACTGTCTTGGACAACACACACCCTCCCCTCAAATGTGGTAATGGTAATGTTTACTTTTTCCAGTCATCAACATCATAAATCTGCCTTGTCTCAGCTCTCATATTCCAATATTATAAGTACAAGACTTCACAAACAGACATCCATAAAAATCAGCAGAGCATGGCTTAGAAGCTCATGCATTTTCAGTTTCTTCAACAGAATGGGTTTTAGTGTCACACTAACAAAAACTCTGAATGAAGGTTGCAATCTGAATCCTTCTTTCTCGCCTACCAGTATGACAGGCTAGACACGTGTGGCTGGTCACAGAGAGGCTGGAAGAGAGTAGCTGAAAATAACTCACCAGTCTTATTCGTGGAGGGTTTATACAATACTGGAAAATACCAGGCATATCATACAAACTGTGTGGCATTCAATGGTGTGCAAGAGTAGTCATTACACTTCTAGAATTCCTATAGGGAAGCATAACTATTAACTTGATTTTCATCCCAGTTGTACTGTCAGCTTTGATGAACTTGTCCATGCGTTGGAATATTTCATCTTAGCCACACCCAGAAAAATGATCTACAGTACTTACCTCAAATGGTTAGGCAGCGATTTAGGTAGCATATCCTCAAGTTTATGAACTTTTTAATGAACTAATAGCATCTTTGAAATTCCTATGCAAGATACTGTTGGGCATAAAGAAATTAAATGGAATCTCTCTTCCCTCTTAGTTTGGGCACAGTTAAGGCTGGATGGATTGGGGAGGAGGTTGAAGGGATACAGGTAAGCAGGGAACAATAGGTCAGCTTTGCTTCTCACCACCTCTTCATGATCAGCTCAACTACAGATGCTCTTTCCCTTCTCTCTGCTCCACAGACAGCCAGCACCATGAGCCAATGCCACCCCCTCACCGCCTCCTGCTCCCATCAGGCCAACCAAGTGGATAAACCCAGGGAAACAGAAGGAAGATCTTTTAGGACAAGCTGTGTTCACTATTTAGAAATAACATTGAAATGTGCAAATTGTTTTCTCAAGAAATAGATGCAGAAATGGAAACATTCATTGTGAAAGTACTGCCCCTTAGTCAATCATTATGTTCAATATTTGGTATTGTTTTCTCCTCTGAGTTCTCTAATACAGTTCTTATCCTAGTTGTTCTCGTGCATTTTGGGTCAAATTTCACCCAAAATACATGAGAATCATTAGGCCTAGGTTTTTTTATTCTTACCTTTTCCTCAGACTTATTATGTAACACTTAACAGACTGGTAGCCTACTTGGTGCATATGTCTTTATCTCAAAGTGGAATTAACAAGCCACTTTTTCTCCTAAGTTGTGATAAAGCTAAGTATTTATTTATTTATTTATTTTTTTTTTTTTTTGACAGGCAGAGTGGACAGTGAGAGAGAGAGACAGAGAGAAAGGTCTTCCTTTGCCGTTGGTTCACCCTCCAATGGCCGCTGCGGCCAGCGCGCTGCAGCCGGCGCACCGCGCTGATCCGATGGCAGGAGCCAGGAGCCAGGTGCTTTTCCTGGTCTCCCATGGGGTGCAGGGCCCAAGCACCTGGGCCATCCTCCACTGCACTCCCTGGCCACAGCAGAGGGCTGGCCTGGAAGAGGGGCAACCGGGACAGAATCCGGGGCCCCGACCGGGACTAGAACCCGGTGTGCCGGCGCCGCTAGGCGGAGGATTAGCCTATTGAGCCGCGGCGCTGGCTAAGTATTTATTTTTTAGGATATTTAGTGAAAATAAACTGATAAGAAAATTCTATTGTAAGAATAGAAAAAATAATGTTTGAGGCCCATTTGCCAATAGACAGTGGAAGAGTGAAGTGCCTAAAATTTTCCAAACCCAAGCTAGAGCTACAGAATATTCATTTTTAGGGGGAGGAGAACACCCCGTGTTTCTAATGATTAGCCTGATCTAGTCAATACAAACTACTATTGATGAACAGGAAAGGAAGGAGATGTAGCCCTAATTGAATATCCCAAAGGCCTCCTTTTCTAAGTGGGAAGACTAAATCCCCCTTGGTAGTGGGCAAAGCTATCTCCTGAGATTTTGGGCTGGGGATGACACATGAAGACTCAGGCAAACTGACTCAGAGTTTTAATTCTCTGTTTCTGTTCCCTTCCAGAGCTCTCAACATGGTGGCTCCTCTACTTCACTTGCATCCACCAAAGTCTGCAGCTCGATGGATGAGAACGATGGCCCTGGGGAAGGTGATGAGCTTGGGACTTGGTATCTGAGGAGAAGGTTTAGCTTACACAGGGGACAGAGGATGGGCTGGCTAAATTTACTACAAGAAACTAACTTCTTAAGCAGAATGAAATGGACAACCCCAACCAGCTCAGGAGGGTAGAATTGAATGGGGTAGAATTGAATATGTCTTCCACTGGGGATTGGCTTCTACTCCATGGGAATGTGAAGAGGAAAGTTTCACATCCTCTGAGGGTATATGTATCCTAAGGCTGCTTTGGAAATAAGAGGGCATAATTGCTGCCTTTGTTTTCCCAAACTCTGTTCACTTTTAGCATATTAAGGACAATTTTCTCTCTTGATTGTTGTAGCCCCGCAGATGTAGTCTAACTCAAGTGAACTCAAAATACAAAAATAGGGCTTTACAATAAGAATTAACTGGTGGCAAATGCAAAAATATTCTTTGTCCCCAAAGCTAATTCACTTTAGAATTTCTCTATGATGTGCTCAAATGACCTGGATTCCAGAATTGACTTTTCCAGTAGCTCACTGGATTGTTCCAGGCAAGCTCTTCAACCCACTACATCTTAGTTCCTCTTCTATAAAATAGAGATGGCAACACATACCTGTTTCCTACCTGGGAATTGGTATCAGTCTCAAATCAATTATGGAAAAGTGTTTGAAAAAGAATGAAAGCGATATGATCAAGCCACTGCTATTGAATCAGCTCCCCTTATTTGTTTTAAATGATATGATCTAATTTATTTCCCAAAAAAAAAATACCTTTTGGATAAAGCACTTTTACTATGTTAAGTGAGATGTGTGATTTATATAAGATTATTTCTTGACTAGTATGCAATATCAAACTTTTTTGTGGTTCCAGGAATGTGAAATTCAGCCACCCGGAAGTCTCCTTTGTTGTAATGTCTTGTATTCATCATGACACGAAATGGTCCTTGGCTAAGTCTTTAGCTAGACCTTCTCAGCCCAAATTTTAAAACATACTTTTTATCGATAGTCAGGAAAACCATCCCAAAGCAGGAGCTTCATGCATGCTACCCTAGGAGAAAGGATGGAAGAACCCTCTTCCCTGCCCCATCTGCAGGGCTCCATGGCCCCAGCAGCTGAAGATGATTGCTTTTGCTATCCATGTAGTAAAGAGCCTCAGGTTGTGTCATCTGACATGTGTTTGGTAAACTCAGGTGCTTTTCAGTGGATGTGAAACAACTCCCACCATCTCCTTTCATTCTCATGGAGTAGACGGAAATCCCCAGGCCGAGCCCTTCAAAGGAAATCAGAATCATGGCTTCTCTGGGAGTGAGCCTGGGGGAGGTGGGCTTTGGCTCCAGTCTCCATTTTATCCTGGAGACCACTTAGCTGGCTTCTAGAGTAAGAGTGAAGTGTCACCTAGACAAATGCAGAGAGGCTACGCAAATGCCCAAGGCCAAATGACAAGCAGCAAATGTTCTACATTTACACGGTACTTTCCAGAAAGTCTATCCATTCTAGAGCCCAGAGCAGTGCAGACATCATCATCCTAAAGCCAGCATACGGGCCCTGAGGCAGGAATCTGATGCTTATGAGGCTGGAAATCTGTCGTTTCTAACCATCCAGACCAAATGTGAATGCAAGAATCACAGAGAAAGTGCAGTCACCATCTAAGCTTTTCATTTTACATTGAGAAGCCATGCTTTGTCTCCATTTATGATGAAATGTCAGAAGAGGAGGACATTTCGAAAACCTGCTCGGCTTCCATCACGGTTTGCATTCAGGTTGTAGCCGAAGGGAGAGCGAGGATTTATAACTTTAAAGCATGTAAATTTTAGAGTCCAGCCATAAAAGGCTTTTTACACCCCTGGCATGTTAAAGGTTATCCAGTATATTTATGTGACCTAAGTGTAGCTTATTTAGTTTTATGGCCTTAGATATTTAAAGCATTATTAGGCATTTGTAAAATATTTCAAAATGCATTTTCAGGGGGAAAATGTGTTGTGTTAGTGGCGCTAACATAATTGAAACTACAAAGCTGTTCTGTTCACAGACATAATAGATATAGCAATTTTAACTCAACATCTGCTGTGCAGGTTGCTGGTGAGAACATTTGTCTAAAATCTGCTCATTGATACTGGGGAGGGGTGGCAATCAGTGCTTGGTGCACAAGAAATTTTACGGAGATCTCCATTTCAGGATGTAGTAAAGCTAAGTGTCCAAACAGCAGGCATTTTTCATGCTTGTACAGTGTCAGGCAGCCTACAGTCCCTTACAAACTGCATTTACCCCTTGCTCCATACAAAGGAATGCCATTCCTCTGTGCTCAGTGGTTATTAGTAAATGCTATTGATCAAATTGCCAGGAAGTGAGAAAGAGCAGCATTTCCTCCTCAAAAATCCCCACTGCAACAGACAACGTAAGTAGCTTGTGTATGAGGACGCTTCAGAAAGTTCGCGGAAAACTGGAATTAAGATACATTGATTTTTGGCACAAAATCTTTTGAAATCCATGCAAACAAGGGGTTTTCAAAAGGTTCGTGGGAAATGCATATTATGAAAAATCTATAAATGGGTTTCAAACTATTTTTGCCCCAAAATGAACTTATCTTTTAATTCTGTTTTCCACAAACTTTCTGAAATTCCATGGTAGTGGTGGAGGTGGAGTCCATACGTTTCCCTTTAGTTTACCATTTGTCATAGTAAATAAAAACTGTTGAGTGTATACAATGTCAGCAAGGCTTGGGGAGCGGGTTGCCTTACTGTACTGAAATGATATATTGATTCTGAATCGTTTCCAGTTAATTAGATGACACTTCTAAATGTCTCCTTTGTGCAACATCTGTGTTCCCTTTTCTACCAATAAAATGTACTAATGATTCTTTCAGAAGTGTCGGACGAGGGTTTCCAGATTCCAGCCACAATAACAGAACGATATAAAGTTGGAAGGACAATAGGAGATGGGAATTTTGCTGTTGTCAAAGAATGTGTAGAAAGGTGAGAAAGATGTCATTTGCATCGAACTTTAAAAGAAACATTTGGCATTGTGTTTTCCAAGATCATGCCTGTATTTACAATCTGAGGCACATGTGGAATAAGTTAAAATCTCAACCCCAGATGCAAAAAAAAAAAAAAAAGTTAAAAAAGTTTCGAACAAAAAGGAAACCCTATCTAACAACAGATTTGAAAAATGTAGTGATTTCTGGGGCTGATCTATAAATTTAGGACTTTGATTTTTTTTCAATGTTCTCAGGGAAACTTTGCTAGCTTTTTCAGGTAAGTCTATTTTTTTAAGTTATGTTGAATAGTCTTATATTGATTAGAGATATATTTTTAAAACATCAGAACATCTCTGTACAAAGTTTATATCTCTAATGTGTACTAATATAAAATTTAATAGAACAATAATCTTAAAAGTCTTTAAAATGTATACAGGGAGGACTTTAAAAAGTTTGTGGAAAATGGAATTGGAAGATAAGTTTATTTTAAGACCCAAAAACATAATTTTCTCACAGTACACATTTTTCATGAACTTGTTGAAACCCTTCATATGTATGGTTTTCAAACTTTTTTGCACCAAAATAAATTTATCTTTTAGTTCCATTTTCCCTGAAATTTTTGAAATTCCCTCATATGTGTTGATCCCTAAAAAGTGGTATTTAACACAAAAATGTATTCAAATGAATGAACCAGGTACTCTGTGTGACAAAAGGAAGGGGTTGGAGGGAAGGGTTCATCCTTTGGTTCACAGGGTTCACAGTACCTAACCAAGGACAGTAGTTAGTGGCCATTACACGGAGGATTGACAACTAATACAGTCACAGCCCAGACTAAGGCAGCCTCAAGCCCTCACTCAGTGTCCGATTTGGATTTGTTTTCTGATGGTCGCTTCCTGTTTTTTTTTTTTTAAAGATTTATTTTTATTTATTTGAAAGACAGAGTTACAGAGAGAGGTAGAGACAGAGAAAGAGGTCTTTCATGCACTAGTTCACTCCCTAGATGGCTGCAACGGCCAGAGCTGTGCATATCCGAAGCCAGGAGCCAGGAGTTTCTTCTGGTCTCCTACACAGGGGCCCACAGACCTGGGCCATCTTCCACCACTTTCCCAGACCATAGCAGAGAGCTGGATCAGAAGAGCAGCAGCTGGGACTAGAACTGGCGCCCAAATGGGATGCCGGCATTTCAGGCCAGGGCTTTAACCCACTGGGCCACAGCACAGGCCTGGTTGCTTGCTTTAAAGGACCTGTTCAGCCACAAGTATCTTCTTGGAGCTCGGTGGACAGAGTATTAAAAAGGCACAGGGAACTAGCTCATTCCTTGAAAGAATGCATCCTCTGGACTTCTGGGCATGGGCCCAGGGTGGACATCCTTCCCTGTTATCTTTCCTGCTCCTGGTGGGGCTCACTGCCCAGAAGTTCTTCAGCACCCTACGAGGGTCACACATCCCCGCTCCACTCTTGTACTCAAAGAATGTCTTGGACCAGGAGGGAGACAAGAAAGCTTTACCTGAAGATCCAGACTTTGTTCTTCCCCAAGGGCTTCTATGCCATATTAGAGCTGCAAATCTATACAGGGCTTGAAATATCATGAGGGCTCTTCGTTTGGTCAAGACGCACTTATGTGCTCCCTTGCTTCTTGCCTGTCTTTGGAAGATGCTTTACCAGCAAACTATCTTAGTGCAGTGGATCTCCAACTTGGCCCCATCAAAACATACTAGTTGGGCTAGGATATTCCCAACAGTGATAGCAACCCACTATAGCAGCTGCTGCCCATGAGTTAGTAAGTGCTTAGCAAGGTATGCATCAGAGCCAGCCCCAAAACTCATGCTTCTAACCACTCTAGGCCACTGCTGTTAATAAAGAGTCTTTCACACAACTTTGGCTTAGCTGACCTGAAATTGCAGGCATCATACCTATGCAAACAGGACACAAATTAAGATGGGAAACCCATTCCTAAGGTAATGGATGAAGATGTATAAAAACATGCACGTGTGTTTATATAATTTACATTTAATTGATACATTCACTGATAGTCAATCCAACACCTTTAAGCTTTATTTCCACTGTAACAGGAAATCCTTTGTGAGCAGATTGCCAGGTCCTTGCACCATGGGTACCTGGTTATTTGCCAGTGTTCATCATCTGTTAAGTCTGACACAGTGGCCATGTGCTATGTCTCCTGGCTGATGCACGGATCAGGATGGCGTCTCAAATCAGCACCACTAGCCTTCTTAAGTTAGAAACGTCTCATTTCTCTATGCAGAATTAATTTCTTTCTTTCTAACTTGGATTGCGTTCATGTTGTGTGAGTTCACATCTTGGGTCTTACCATATGAAACTTCAGAGTCTAAACACCATATTGCTCAAAAAATGTTGGTATTCAGCTCCTGCTGAATGAGGACATATGGCATGTGCCCTCTCTCCCTGGAGGTATCATGAAACATTCTTTTAATATTTTCCAGAGGTCCAAGAAAATAGAAGCGAGTTAAGCATGTTGTCAATGGCACACATTGCTTCTGGGTACATTCTGCCATATTTTAAAAAATGAATATGTATTAACAAGGGCAAGAATGTTCCTCCCCTGTTAATAATATGCTGTCATGGGCAAGATTTTTCCACAGTGATCACAGTAACAGCATGACGTTCTGTGGGCCTGTGCCAGCGTATTCTTTGGTAGTGCAGTATGCCACTAGCCATTTCTGCCTGTGCCCCAGGAGAGATTTCTTGAGTGGCCCCTAGGACATGTAAAGGAAGTTGGTGCACTGTGGCTTCAGCAGAAAGAGACATGCCCTATTTTGAAGTTTTGTAGAGCATCTGGGGCGGACAGGGTGTCCAAGAGTTGCAAAGTGTGAATGAGGAGTCAGAGTGTGAGGAGAGGGCTGGCTGTGTGGTGCATGTCCTCTCTAACCTTCCTGGCTCCATGTGAACTAATTACTCCACACACCAAGGCATCAAGTGAATGATGTGGTCCTAAGTAGGGATGGTGCCCTAGAAGACTCTCAAGTCTCCTTACTACCTGCACTGGATACGTTTTAGGGGATGTGAGCGCCAGAGCTATAGTAAAATCCTCCATGCTGGTGCATGCCCCACTCCATCCTCCACCTTGAAGCAGGAAGAAGCACAACAAAACCTCTGGCTCTGGCGATTCAGGCTCAGCCCCCTGGACAAGCTGAGACTACACTTCTCAGGCCCTCAGGAACTGTGCACCTAGCAAAAGTTGAAGGTGTTTCCTTCAGAGCTGGGACAAGGAAGCATGAGTCAGGGTGAAGAATCTCGTGGCTAGCTGATGATTGTTCTCCCTTCTGTCCCTTCTGAGGGTCCTGCTTCCATGGGGCCCTTGTTCCAGTTCAAAATGTAGCTCCAGTCCAGAGATATCGGGCAAGACCTGGAAGGCCTCAGTTCTCTGCTGTTAATGGTTATTCCCATGGACGAGGCCAAGGTCGGGTTTTATTATCAAGAGGGGCTGTTTACTAAGCCCTGTTTGTTGAAGGGTAGTCTTTGGTCACTGCACAGTCTTCCACCATCTCCTGAGGTTTCCACACCTTGACCAACATGTAGAGCACCTGCTGGTTTAGGTCCATTCAGGACACTTATGGTGCTCCACAAAGAGACAGGGCACAGCCTTGTGCTTACAACTTTAGCCATGAACAAGGGATTACTGTGAAATTCAATAAACACTATGGTAGAGCAACACTAGAGAAACTTTCTTTTTTTTTTTTCCTATCCACGTAGTGTTTTTCAAAACTGTGAAAACATAATCAATAGTTGCAAGAAAAACCCCATTTGCTAAGAGCACTCTTATCTCTGCAAGCCATTCCTCATTGGAGCAGCATTCTACTCTGTTCCCTAGATGAGGAGTCTCAGTGTACAGAAGACAGGCCTGGGTTGAGAATGACTGTGGTAAACAAGATAGATTTCTTTAAGCCATAGTTAGCACACATGTAAAAAGTTAGGTTCAATTCAAGTTTGTAAAATTTAGAAATTTCTCGCTAGTAGCTCCAGTGTTAACTTTGGGTCACCCTTAGTAAGAAGATGACCTTACAAATTGATTCTTTTGGCCGGCGCCAAGGCTCAATAGGCTAATCCTCTGCCTGTGGCACCGGCACACAGGGTTCTAGAACCGGTCGGGGCGCCGGATTCTGTCCTGGTTGCTCCTCTTCCAGTCCAGCTCTCTGCTGTGGCCCAGGAGTGCAGTGGAGGATGGCCCAAGTGCTTGGGCCCTGCACCTGCATGGGAGACTAGGAGAAGCACCTGGCTCCTGGCTTCGGATCAGCGCAGTGCACCGGCCGCAGCATGCCGGCCGCAGCTGCCATTGGAGGGTGAACCAATGGAAAAGGAAGACCTTTCTCTCTGTCTCTGTCTCTCACTGTCCACTCTGTCTGTCAAAAAAAAATTGTTTTTTTTTTAAAGATTTATTTATTTACTTGAAAGTCAGAATTACACAGAAAGAGAAGGAGAGGCACAGGGAGAGACAGAGAGAGAAAGAGAGAGAGAGGTCTTCCATCCTCTGGTTCACTCCCTAGTTGGCCAAAACGGCCGGAGCTGTGCCGTTCCTAAGCAAGGAGCCAGGAGCTTCCTCCAGGTCTCCCACATGGGTGCAGGGGCCCAAGGACTTGGACCATCTTCTCCTGATATCCCAGGCCATAGCAGAGAGCTGGATCAGAAGTAGAGCAGCAGGGACTCAAACTGGTTCCCATAAGGGATGCCTACACTGCAGGCGGCGGCTTTACCCACTATGCTACAGCGCCAGCCCCACAAATTGATTTCTTGTAGACAAAGAGAAGACAGAGATTTCTGTTGCTGTTGCATAGAGGTTTCTATAAAAGGTCAAGTATGTAATTTGGGGCAACAAGCAATTGGGCTTCTTTTCACCAGCAATCCAGTTGTCTAGAATTCTTCCCAATACACCAAACTGTATACCCCTGAGGACCAGGGCCAGGTGCTAATGACCCCTGAGTCCACCAGAGGCCTGTGCTGTCTCTGCTCACTGAATAGCTCCCCAGACTCAGCAGTCTTCAGAGTTTGCCGTATGTAGGGAGGCAAATACATTATTTAAGGTTTTATTTCTTGCCAACTGTTTTCACTTAAAGCAAGCACTTACATTTTTATTCTTATGGTGTACATTTAGTCCTAACACCTGTTTTCAGGCTCGTTTTCCAGACTAGCTACTTTCCCATAAACATGCACTTCTAGTAATTAAGGATTTTATTATATGACTTTATAGTTCTGCCCTCAAGGAATCAAGAAAGAAAAGTTGCAATGTTAATTTCGGTGATCCTCTATGGGACGCATTGTCTAGTGTAAAATATGGATGCACTTAATGCAGTGTTTAGAGGTTTTGTGAAGGATTCTGCAGGGAAGCTGCAAGGCTCTTCTTCCTGCTGGGCCCTAGAGCCACCCTAGCTGCCCTGCTGGCTCTCAGCTTCCCAGCACCCTCCTCTGTCCCCTCAGGACAGAGACTGCTTGCTCAGCCTCCTGGAGCCACCAAGCCACCTGCCTTCTGGGGATTCTGCCTTTGTCTGGCTAAAGAGGACCCTTCCTGAGACCCATATAAAGCCCTTTAATTTGAGTAATTTAATATCACTCATTGCAGGGAAACAAGGACCAAATGGCAAATGTGGGGAAGCACAAAGCTGAAAAACGCAGTCTTTTCTTCCCCCACACGACCCTATCATGCATGCCCTTGGTGGACGTGGCAGAGGAAAAGGCCAGCTTTTCTTTGTGAGCCTCACAAGCTCCATGCTCACTCTCGGGCCCTGGCTGGGATGGCTGACAAGGATGGAAGCAGTCAGTGCAGTAGTTGGGATTTCCCTGCCATCGAATGAAACATTTTCACCAAAGAGGAAATCGCTCAGCCGTTCCAATCTGAGATTTGCTTTATCATAATTTCTGAGTGATACATGAAAGGTGGAATCCAGAAACCCTTCAACTTTTAGTTTTCCTCTTGATTAAGTGTTTTCAAACTTGCAAACAGACCCAGTGGAAGCCTTTTAAGAGAGTACATAAAAGGATTCTGTGGTCATATAGAATACAGGCTTTTTAGTGGGAGGAATTCCTTTGTATGTAATTTTACTTTCTCATTTATGATTGCTGGCTCATTCTTAATTTAAAAAAATTTATTTGGCAGGGGGCGAGGAGGAGGGGACAGGAGAGGTATCTCCTATCCACTGATTCACTCCCCAAATCCCCACAATAATTAGGACTAGGCCAGCCCAAAGTCAGGATCTGAGACGTTAGCCCAGGTCTCCCATTTGAGTGGCAGGGACCCAACTACTTAAACCCCAACCTGCTGCTTCCCAGGGTCTATGTTAGCCGGAAGCTGGAGTAGGAAAGCAAACCCAGGTACTTTGATATGGAATGCAGGCATCTTAACCACTAAGCCAGATGCCTGTCTTATTTTTAATTTTTAATGGTGACTATTTTGTTTTACCTCTTATCAGAGAGGTTTTTCTTCACCTCTCCCCCACTGCCTTGCTGATGGCCTGGTGTTTACATGAAATATCTGGCCCTCAAGCCCTATAGTTGGCCAAGGACTGGCTCATGTGTTCCTCCAGCGTGGTCTCAGTGCCCAACCAGGGCAGATGTTTTGTTGAAGGGATCCTTAGGCTTCTAAGCCAGTTTCCTCATGGAGTGAAGCCAATCTGCATTCCTTGGACCATGGTGTGGAAGGTTTCACCTTTGCCTATCCATACCCTAAAACCTCTATTTGAGAATAGGGCTTCAAGGTAGTTACCTTATTCTGAGTTTAATGTGCCAGATATTATCATAGCAACTTAATTTTTGTGGAGTAAGTGAGTAACATGCAGGGACCAGGATGTGTAGGGAGAGGCATTTTTAGAAGGGAAAGGCATGAATAGTTTCTAAATCGCTCTTAAGCACATTTTGAATACCTGCGTTGTCAGTTTGTTTATAGGCAAATCATTTTCTTACTCTAATATATAACTAGGCATTTCTGTTTAATTCACCATACTGAATATTTCAAAACCTTAATTTAAAATTATATTCTTAACCAACTTTACTCCTGTTGTATTCATTATTTGAATCCATAAAAAATTGGGTTTTAAGTATATGTTAAAAAACAAGGTTTCTTGGTTTTGCACCAAAAATTAAAGGGCCATACTTGTGAAGTAGGGGTTTCTTATGTTTACTAAATATGCATCCCACAATCCTATTATTGTACACTACAGATTCTTAGAAACGTTAGCACAAGGCAGGAAGCTATCTGAAGGTAATAATATGCCCAAACTCTCCCATAGCCAAATCAAAGAAAGGGCAGGGAGTGTCTGGATTATTTGGGAAGTAGGGACCCCCCTCCCAAAGAACTGAAAGTCTTTATTTTAATGCTGTCATGTGGCTTTGGGAAAGTGGATTTATTTTAATTTTCACTTCCATATTTTTTATGAAATGAGATAGCTATAAAAGTCTCAAGGGATCTCAGGAAGCTCAGAAAATGATTTTATGCCTTTCTGTAAATCTTGAACATATGCAGAAACTTCAGAAAGTTCATGGGAAATGGAATTAAAAGGTAAGTTCATTTTGGTACAAAAAGCTTGAAATCCATCATACAAGGGTGCTTGCAAAAGTTCATGGAAAATGCATATTATAAGAGAAAGCTGTGTTTGGATTCCAAAATTGTTCAGCAACAAAATAACCATGTTTTAATTCCATTTTCCACATCTTTTTTCAAAAAGATTTATTTTGTTTATTTCTAAGGCAGAGTGACAGCAAGGAAAGAAGGAGAGACAGAGAGCTTCCATCCATTGTCTCATTCTACAAATGTCCACCACAGCCAGGGCCAGTTCAGGCCAAAGCCAGAAACCTGGAACTTTATCAAAGTCTCCCATATGGGTGGCAGGGACCCAGGTATTTAGGCCATCCTCTGCTGTCTTCCCATGCACATTAGCAGGGAGCTGTATTGGAAGCAGAGTAGATGGGAATCAAATGGGCACTCCCATATGAGATGCCAGAATTGCATATGGCAGCTTAACCCACTACACCACAATCCTGGCCCCTACACATATTTTTTGAAGCCCTTGCATTTCATCTTTGGGTTCTCTCACAAAATTCACATGCAAGCTTTCACACTGAACCAAGATCCAAAGAGTGTATTCTGCTTCTTGAGACTTGAGAGTCTTCAACATAACCATGAGAACCATTCAGATTACCGTCACAGACTCCCTTGGTGGGTGGAGAACACCAAGAGAGACTTGAGGAAAAAGAACAGAAACTGACACCTGCTTTATGCCCCTGCTGGATCACTGCAGAGGGGAAGGAAGAGTGACGAGAAGGAGTTAAGCACAGTAGTAGCAATGGCAGTGTTTTCATTACAACTATGGATGGCGACACAGCTCAAGATTTCTCTGTGCAGCCACACTGGTTGTTCTTACACTTGGTCAACCCATAGAAGTTTACATATTTATTTGTTTAATAAAAAGGAAGGAAGAAAAGGAGAATCTTTCACAAAATATCGATACCACAATGAAAGATGTGTGGTGAAAAATTAATCTCTAGCAAAATGACTCAGTAGATCTGAAATCAAGTTTTGCTTATGTTTTAAATGTTTCTCTTTGCAGGTCTACTGCTAGGGAGTATGCTCTGAAAATTATCAAGAAAAGCAAATGTCGAGGCAAAGTATGTATAAAGTTTATTCCTATGAAATACAATGCTTGAGGGGGTAGAAAAAAGCCAAAAGTTCAGCTCCCAAGCAAACAAATTCACCCTAAGAGTTGCATTTTGGTGGAATATACTGTTATATACTGATTGGAATATAACTTTATTAGTATTCCTGGAAAAAATTTTAGTTGAAATGATTGGATAGTATTTCTTTTTCTTATCTTTGTTTGCTTAACTTTCTACCTTACTTTTGTGATCTGAGTTTCTTGCCATCCTTCCATGTGAAATCAGAGTTGTTGTGACTGGTTCTGAATTTATAAGCATCATCTAAAGACCTTCAGCACCTTTAGACAATTCCAGGCCATCTGAATATTAGGACATGAGAAATCCTCATATGTTACCAAAATACACCTCCTTTAATCCTCAAAGAGTAAGGTGATACTACATGAGTCAGGTCCTTGTAAGTTTTGTGAATACTGAATAAGATAATTTTTTCTTTGGACAGGAGCACATGATCCAGAATGAGGTGTCTATTTTAAGAAGAGTGAAACACCCCAATATTGTTCTTCTGATTGAGGAGATGGATGTACCAACTGAACTGTATCTCGTCATGGAATTAGTAAAGGTGTGTATTTTGGAAAAGAAACAAAATCTCTACAAGGGATGATGCTTTCCTCTAATCTGGAGCCTTTTCCTCTGTAGTTAGGATCTCACGTCTGTGTGTTGGTACAGTGAATTAGATATTAACAGTGGAACTGGATGCAAGCATTCAAGTCCCAGCCTTGGCCCAAATAGCTCCATGACCTTAAGTAGACATCTCTGCCTTAGTACACTCATATGTAAAGTGAATACCTACTTAATAGTATTATTGAGGGGATGAAGAGGGATAGCTTCCAGCAGACTGATGACACAAAATGTTAGATACAAATATGGTTTTATTGTTGTTGTTTTACTTTTCCATGAAGTACATCCAAAGTAGTTGCTCCATAAACTGCATCAACCATTTTGTAAAAACAAGCCTTATACTTTGAGTTATAACATCATAGAAAAAGGACAGTCTGAATATTCATGTGAATAGTGGTGTATCCTATCACAGAAAAATTACATTTCTACTCTGTGAAAGTGTAGAATACAGAAATAGCCAAGTGTTGATAGTGGTTGAATGCAAGTGAAAGGTACTTCACTCATTCCCTCGTCTTCTATACATTTGAAATTTTCAGTAATTAGCAGTGCTTTTAAAAAATGGGTTGTTTCCATTATCCTGGTTGCCTTTTCCTCGATGCTTCGCTAATGTACCTGAGTCATTGCGGTCATTTCCACGTTAGTTGTAAGCTTTCAGCTAGTCCCATTACCCTCTGCATGGACTGTGTAGGAGCCATGGCCTCCGGGGGCCATGTTTGAATTATACACCTGAGCCAGTGATTGCAGAATGCGAGGCTTTCTTTATTCAAGATTTAAGACCAGGAAACCATTGAATAAGCTAGTCTTCTACTGTGTAGAAAAATGTTCATTCTGTGCTCTTTCAGCTTCGTGATTCAGAGTTGATTCACCTTAGACTGGGTGGCATTTATTTTCACTTAGTGATTCTTTATATTTATAGGTCAAGCCTGTTTGTTTTCTCCTTCAGGTTGGCACTTGTTTCTTGTGGCAGGTCCCCACGGAAAGAAAGCAATTACTGCTATCTAATTACGTCCTGTTAGTTACACAGTTACACAAGTGACACCTAGTTGTTGTATTTCCCTCCCTCACATTTGAGGCTGAGGGAAGTAAAAATGTTAAACTGTGCATTCCAATGAAGAAACATCAATTTCATTTTTCAGAACATTTTCAAATTAGTATTTTATTGTCAAATTACCTTTTTACCAACTTTATAGATTATTCTTTCTTAAGGACCAAGGATAGCATTTTTACAATGACTTTCATTTTTAAACCAACACCTACAAACCATGCCCATTGCCCCTTTGTGTGCTGTCAAAAATTGATTAACCCTCTGTTATTATTTTTCTCCTGTTTGCTTTTCCAACCCATGTTGATCCCGAGTGCCTGGCGGCAGGGCCACCTCCTCCACAGGCCTGCCTGCTTCTTAACTCACCAGTGGCTTGTGCGTGCACCATTTTGGTGGGCGGAAGTGTCAAGTCCTAGTAGTTACAGAATCTCAACACTAATAACTCCTTCTTCATGGCTTCCCAGCACATGTGTCTTGTTTGTCCTTGAGCTTCAAACATCTTTGGACCATTAGGGTCTTAGAAGCATGGTCCTAGCTAAGTTTCTCAAAGGAGCATCGTGGGAGCCTTTGAAGTCCTGCTTGGGAAGCTCCTAGATCTGGCCTCAAGGCAGTTATGGGTCAGTCTAAATCCAGTACAATCTAGTGACGTAATTGAGGAACTGCAAAGCTTGCCTCTATGTTAGGATATTCTGGTGGATGAAAGAGAATTTGCAAAGGCTGTGAAGGACAATAAGGACCTTACCATGATCACCTAAGTATACTGTTGCCAATCAGACTAAGATTACCCATAAAATGTGCTATGAGCTCTTGAGCATTTGTCTTTTATTTCTCATATTCAAATTTAATGTCGTTTCATCTCTCCAAAAATCAGCCAGTATCAGTGGGGATGGGGAGGCCCCATAGCATCAACCCAGGGATGATAGGGGAAGAAGATGGGGTGGGGTGGCAGAGAACAATGTGCTTGAGAAATAAATGCCTTAAAGGCAGGATGGAGAGAATTTTTTGGCTGCTTTGTTGAGGATAAAAAAGAAAGGCAACAACAGGGTGCCTAGAGCCTACATGAAGAGAACAGTTGTGAAGTCTTTGCAAGGTGGCCGTGGAGCCACACATATCTACCTATTGTGGAGTCCAGGGTGCTGTTCACAGAGACCGTAGTGGATGTCCTACCTCCCCAAGTGACCCAGTGACAACCTGCAAACCCCTGTATAGCAGTCTTGCCTTTGAGAGGAACTGGAAGTTGAGAGAGAAGGGGTTTGTTTTGAGAACAACTGTGTGTGTGTGTGCTTAGTTTGAAAACTACAGAGACTTGGTGACAGTGAGAGAAGCCTCCAGAGTAGAGATAGTCCTGACAGCAGACGTACCAGCTGGATAGTGAGATCTGGGAATCATCAGCCTCTGAGGGCTATATTTTGCTTTTGTTATTTTAAAAAGAAAAATTAAATCCCTTACCACCTTAGGTAAGAGATGAACACAATTGAATACTGAGTTCAGCAATTTGGGGCATATATGAATGAATGATACAAACCTTGTTAGTAAATCAGACCCAGATTCTCCTAAAGGGTTTCGAATACATGGAACTTACATTGGAACCTAACAGCATTTTGTTGTAACAAAGAGCAATACATTAGGGAGCAGCCAGGCCCACTGAAGTTCAATGAATAATTGTCCTAGAAAACTTTCTTTGAAACTTCTCCACCTGCCCTCTCTCTCTTCCTCTCCCATTTTTGGAATGACAGTTCCTGGTCCTTCTCTCAGTTCCTTACAAAGAAGCACATTATTATTGAAAAAGAAAACACTGCACCCACTCCAGGTAGAGCTAAATAGAGAGAACTAAGGGGATTGTGTGAATGTGTGTGTGTGTGTTAATAATTTCACAAGGCAGCAGAACATTTTGTTAAGTGTGCAGTTTGCAGTATTACCTGATTCTCACTGGGGGAGGTTTAAGATTATGAATTTGAACTTCAGCTGACAGCTGGTGTGTGGCAGGTGGCACGTGCCACCAGGATACCCACGTGTCACAAGGCTTCTGTGTGGGAGGCCTAGCTCCCTCTCTCCTACCTGGCAGGTGACTGTGGAAATGGCCACGTGCCTGGTGTCAGAATCTTTGAGGTCTGGAGGAATTGTCTCTGGATTTCACAGTTGGGGGAGAAATTGCACAAGCTTTTTGGCCTTTGAGAGGCAAGTGGCCCAGAAAGCTCTTGGAACCCCAAGATCTGTGTCCTTTCTTCATGGCCTTTGGAGTGTGCTGGTTGCTTCCAGAGGCAGCCCTGTGGGCCCATCTGCTAAGCTGCTGCTCTGCCTGCTATTATCTTCTCAGGGAGGAGACCTTTTTGATGCTATCACTTCCACTAACAAATATACCGAGCGAGACGCCAGTGGGATGCTGTACAACCTGGCCAGCGCCATCAAATACCTACACAGCCTGAACATTGTCCACCGTGACATCAAGCCGGAGAACCTACTGGTAAGAGCAATTCCACCTTCAGGGCGCCCTGCGTTCCAGGTACTGAGCAGCGAACAGGAAAGTTTCCTTTCTCTCTCTTTTTTCTTTTCTTCTTTCTTTTAAAAAATTTTACTGTGAGGGCTCACTCCAGCTAGCCTCCAGTGTCTTGCTGGAAACTAACCTTTTAAGTTGATCTGGAAGAGTTAATGTGCCTTTAAGAGTACCTGAGTTATTAGCAAATAAAATTAGCAAGTAAAATCTCAGAATAAGGCAGGTTTGTTTGTGGCTCAGTGGATTCAGTGTCAATGATGCTGATGCTGGCATCCCATATAGGTGCCAGTTTGAGTCCTGGTTACCCCACTTCTAATCCAGGTCCCTGCTAATACACCTTGGAGAGCAGAAGAGGATGTTCCAAGTACTTGGGCCCCTGTACCCATAGGGAGATCTGGACAGAATTCCAGGCTCCTGGCTTCAGCCTGGCCCAGCCCCAGCTGTTGCAGCCCTTTGGGGAGTGAACCAACAGATGGAAGACTGATTCTCTCTCTCTCTCTCTCTCTCTCTCTCTCTCTCTCCCTCTAACTATGCCTTTCAAATAATAAATAAATAAATCTTTGTATAAAACTCCGAGCACAGGAGTGAGACTAGAAGGAAGGCTGAGTTAGCACGTTGGTCCAGTGTCAGGGAGCTTTGCACCTGTACCTATTTACCTACAGCGCTTTTATGAAAGAAAGGGTTTCTTTAAGCCTTATTTAATTTATTTATTTGAAAGGTAGAGTTACAGAGAGGAGAGAGAGATCAGTCTTCCAGATGGCTACAAAAGCCATGAGGCTAAGCTAAGCCCAAAACCAGGAGCCTGAAACTCCATCTGGGTTTCCCACATGGATGGCAGAAGCCCAAAGCACTTGGGCCATCTTCCTCTGCTTTCCCAGGTGCATCAGCTGGGAGCTGGAAAGTGGAACATCAGGGATTCAAACCAGTGCTCAAAGGAAATGCCAGCATCGCAAGCAGCAGCTCAACCCACTGTGCCACAACGCCGGCCCTTGATAGAAAAATTTTACTTGGAAAATATAGGAAGCCCTTTTGTCTTAATTTCCCATGTTTCCTTCTCAATAATAGTGATTTAAAACCTATAAAAAATAAACCTTATCGGTTTTTTTAAGATTTATTTATTTGTTTATTTGAAAGAGTTAGAGAAAGGGAGAGACAGAGAAAGACAGATCTACCTGCTGGTTCACTCTTCAGATGGCTTCAACAGCAAGGGCTGGGCCAGGCCAAAGCCAGGAACTTCTTCCAGGTCTCCAACATGAGTGCAGGGGCCCAAACACTTGGCTCATCTCACTAGTTCCACAGAATAAAAGAATAAAGAAGATGGCTATGAAAAACCAGGCACACCGTCTCTCCCCGCATGACTATCTGGTTTGCTTTCCAGGAACCCCAGGGAAATATTGGGAATTCTCCAAGCCAGCAAATGAGGGTGCTTTCCTAGTATGGTTTTGAAGGGGATGGTGTAGAAGGATGTGCGCAGCCTAGACCGGGTACAAGCAGTTGTCACTCTGAAACATCAGAGTCGCATACATTTTGCTGACTCTTCAGGCTGAAATTCTAATGAAATATATTTTACTTAAGTAAACGTATATGTGAGTGTCTTTCAGAATGTTCGTGAAAATAGAATTAAAAGATAAGCAAAACATTATTGAGTTTGCATACAGAAAGAAGCCACAAAAAGTTCATGGAAAATGCATATTATAAAAAAAGTGATGCATGAAAAAAAAGTGATGCATGAATTCCAAAAATTTTTGCACCAAAATAAACAACTTTTAATTCCATTCCCCACAAACTTTTGGAAGCCCCTGTGTGTGTATTTCATTCCCTGAAGAAGCTAGTCTTGCCTTAACTTTTTTCCCCACACTTGGGCACCCTGTGTAATCGATGATTCCTGTGGGTTTGCCCCTCTCTTCAGAATGCTGGGAATTGAGGATTCTCCTTCCACAGCAGTGTTTCTCCCAGGGTGGTCCAAAGACTCCCTGCATCAGAATTACTCCCAGATGCCTGTTAAAAATGCAAATTTCTGTGCTGCTTTGCATCTCTACCAACTCAGAATCTGGTAACTGGTGACAGGGTACAGAAGTGCACATTGCAATAAGCTCCCCAAGGTAATCTGAGTGCACGTTCAAGTTTAAAAGCAGATGAGCAAATGGACTCCCACTAAACCAGCAAAAGCTAATAAGGTCTGCTAAAATTGAGGACTACCTCATCCTTGTGCTAAGAATTAAACAGGTAACTTTGACCTGTGCTAAGGGCATCACAGTAATTATCTCATTAAATCCTCACAACCACCACAGGGGCTAAGTTCTAGAATAGTCCCATTTCCCAGGTAAGGACACTGATTTCCTAAAAGTTCAATGACCTGCCCAAGATTATAACAGCTTTTAAGTAGAAGAACCAAGATCTCAACCTAGTTCTGCCCTACCAGAAAGCAAAACTCTTACCTCTAGACTATAGTAAACTATGAATTAAGGTGAGAGTAATCGAATGCTTGCCATGGGCCAGACACTCTGCCAGGAAATAAGAGAGACACATTCCTTCATGGAGTTGACATTGAAGCAGGAAAAGCAGGCATTCAAGAAATAAATACGCACACAATTAGTTAATTGCTGTTAGTTGGTAATCTTGTAGCTGCTGGCTAATGAAGGCAGCTGAGGTCAAATGACAGAGCTCTGATTTAATTGCACCTCAAATTCCACATCTCTGCAGTAGCCTAAACATTCTCTTCTGCATAGTTGCCTCCATAAACGGCAGCAATTTTCTCTCTGTCTGCATTCATTATTCTTGTGTCCTGAATTATGTAGGACTGTCTCATGGGAGCAGACTTACAACTGGGCCTTTGTCTAAAAACTTCTCTAAGCTCCAAAACTTCAGTGATTGGAAATTAAAGTTTCATTTCCCTTCCCCCTTCGCCTTTCAGTTCAGTTTATGTGCCTATTGTTCATTTGCTTCGCCCCAGAGCATTATCTATTTCTGGAAATGCCATGAATGATTACACAGCAGTGAACTTTTACTAAAGTTATCATTTTCAGGATACCTTTTCAGTATTGTGGTCATTTGAACATATTTTGCTTTAAATTACCCTAAAAGGAATTCTTCCAAAAAGGAAAAAGTTATCTCCATTTCCCTTTCTTTCCTAGTTTAAGAATCTGAAATGCATAGAGAAACCATTGTAGTATAAGATAGGTTTAAAATATCCATATAAAAAAACCTAAAGAGGTTCTATTTTCCATTACAGTAAAATTTACCATAGAGGGTAGGAACTGGTGAATTTTACACGTATAAATCTATTCTAAGAGGAAACAAAAGAACAGAGTAAACGTAACAACATTAACAAAAGGTGATGATATCACTAATTGCACATGAAACCTCTCAATCTTAGATTCTGTTGGACTTTCTATGGCTATATGACAGAACCATCATGGGAGATATTCTACACATTCAGGATTTATGGGCAGATGGACAAAAGTTCAAAATCAAGTGCTTTACTCTTCCATTGGCTAGTCTTGTGACCTTGAACAAGTTATTTAACTCCTTTAAGCTTCCTGTTAAGGGGGTTTTATGTAGGTAAAGAAATAATGCATAACTACTAGTTCTCTTTCTTTTTATTTCAGTTATTTGTAATATGAATTAAGTTAGGCCTAAAAATAAAATTGCTTCACAATAACACTGCATGTAGTAAAAAATTTTTCTTCTTTTTTTTTGACATTGCTTTTTAGAATTTTACTATTCATCCATGTATGGATTTGCCAACTTGTGACAAAATGTAGACTTAAACAATATTTTTTAAAAAATGTCATGAAAAAGTTTAGACATAGTTTTTAATCCATTTGTTTAACACAAGAAAACTTACCAAATAAATAAAAGGCCTTAGTGTACATTTTGCTTGTCTGTTTTATTAGGAGGCCTCAAAAACCCTTCTCTTTCTTTAGGCTGCTAACAAGTCATCTGTGGGGTTAAGTGTTTGATTAATATTTGTTATAAATTAGCAAAGTGGTTTTTAAATAAATGTCTAATTTGGCTATAGGTTTCATTTTATGCAGTATAATTGTGTATATAGAACTTTTAACATCTTTATTTACAATTCTAATAGGATAATATGAAAGTGTAGCTAGACATTAAGAATCTATATTGATCACATGAGTGGTTTATTTGATTTTACATGTTTGCTTAAATCAAAATATTTTACTGAGAAAACGTGATTTGGCTTCCAGTGACATTCCTAGTCACACTTAGCTGAAGACTAGCAAACAACCCAATAAAAACAGCTTTTACACATTTTTTGTTGTATCATTCCTTAAATTTTTCCTCCAAGTTAATCAGGGCACTGATTTTATATGGTTATTATTGCTTTATGTGTGGTTAGACCTGGTGCTTAATAATGGTGGGTGAGATGAGCAAATAAGTGAATGCAATGCCTCTTCCCAGGATGGAGAGCCGAGCTGATGTGAGAATCTTAAGCCATTTCCCTACCCATCTATTACATGGGGAACTCACAGTGGCTTCAGTCTAAACCTCACTGAGTGGGCAACGTTTTCTCTCCCCACTCAATGGGAGTCACTGATGCACCCAGTTGGACCACTGTGTGTGTGTGTGTGTGTGTGCATGCATGCTGTGATAGTTTATGCCTAAACAACTTCTGTTTTCAAAACAAAAACTGATTCAATGCCTTCAGTGTACAAAAGTCACCACTAGATGGCAAGCGTGTGCCCTTGGCGGCAAAAAAAAAAAAAAAAAAAAAAAAAAAATCATTACTAATAACTTGTGTTTTTCCCGAGGAGCTGGGCAAGTCTTTTAAAAGTGTAGACACAGATGCTACCTCTTTATGAAAAGTCTTAACTGACAAAAATATAATTGACATCACTGCTTTTTATTAGACTGCATAAATGAACACAGCCATTTTCTTCAAATATAAACGTGTTTGTTTAAAAACCCTTTTCTTCTCAGAGTCGCCAATATTCTCTAGAAGTTCCCCA